TGTGACCTTCTGATCCTGATTTCCTCTCTACTGTTCCCTCTTTTCAAAACTTTATCATCCTTCTTTTGATGGTTCGTGAATGGACATTGAAGATGGAAACCAGAATATGAATGTCGGTGCCATTACGGAAATCTTTCCTTTCACCATTGCACATTTGAGTAGACAGTCGGGTTCGCAAAAAAAGATTTTCAGCGATTCTTACGACAAATGATGTCAAGATGTTTACACGTGTTACCTGAAAAGCGCGGAAACAAACTCAATTAGATTAGTGTTTTTTCAGATATTAAACATTTTGAGGGATGTACATTTCTGCTGCACACGATTTGGACAATTTTTGTGTTACACTATGTATATATATATATATATATATATATATATATATATATATATATATATATTTGTGTGTGTGTTGTGTGTGTAAAAATTGAGATATTACTATAATATACCTTTAAAAAAGACAATGTGATTACAGACAAAAGCTAGATGTAACTTATTAAAAGAGAAGGTAACTTTTTTGAGAGTGCCAGTATGGAAACTTACCAAAACATAAATCTGCGGCCAAAATATTTTTTCTCATATCCTAAAAGAATTGCTCATTTTCCAGCCATATACATGATTATAAAAAAAACTGTTAAATTCAATATCTTATATAATTTAAAATATATAATAAATAAATAACTAATATTGCTTAATTTACCAAACGAATAATTCCGTTATTATTTACGTTTTTACGTATTTTTCCAGTGAAACATTGCCCAGTGCAGATGTTAGTATTCGTATGTCCATTCCACGAAGTCTTTTTTTGCAGATTGACCACAGATTCTCGGTTGGATTTAAATTTTTTCCGGGCCTGTTGAGTAATTTGATTTGCTCGCTGATAAGGCTTGCTAGTGCGTTCATGCAACTTTACAGATTTTCGTACGCTTCCTTGGAATAACGTCCATCACAGACAATGACCATAGGACAACTAATCGACAGTCGAGACGATATGTCTGGGCGTGAAAAAAATCTGATGCAATCATGGATGTCGCAATATTTTTCAAGGCTAAATAAATTTCAGCATACACGCCGAAAATTGATTCGTATTACTGTACACCACTGCAAATGACTTACTCTGAGGAAAAATAGAAATTGATTACAACGTTTCATTCCAGTAGGTCTAAAACCGACCATGTGGTGGCAGAAAGGATACTAAAGCGGTTGGTTCAATGCATTTGCACAAGGATGTATTATGTACACTATTTACATTATTCGGACTATTGTCCTCATCTTTGTCGCCATATTTATTATAACGTTTCGGCCGTTGTACGCTCCGGCCTTCTTCAGGTGGTTGGAGTGTCGATCTGAACAATTTATTTCGCTCAATGGGATAGACTGTTCTAGTTCCATGTTTAATGAATGTCAATTATCAGTTATCTTCTGTTAATTTCCCTCTGCAATTTCTCCACTGCTTTAATCTGAGGATGGAGAAGATGTGTATTCGTACTTTTCCCAGGTGAATATAACGAACCCAGCTGGAATTAGACCTCCAATCTTCGATTAACAATTCGCAGCCATTATCCATCACACCACCGCACATCCCAGTTAACAGCACGTGGGATTCCCATGTGTTCACACATCGAACTACCGACATTCTTTAACTTAAGTGATAATACTGGAATCTGTGGTTCAATGCGATTTGACCGTAAGGTCATCACTTAATCTGAAGTTTATGTATGAATATGTATGTATATATGGAGGCACGGTGGAGTAATGGATAGTGGCTTCCATTACATTCACTTACGTGCTAATACCCTTGGGAAAGGTATGAATCCTCTTCCTCTCCTTCCAGCTATGGGTAAAATAGCAGGACAGACTGGGTTCTATAGCCTTGGATGGCAACTGGTCTAGGAGAAGGACAACTCTGAATTCAAAACCTGCGGAGGGTCATTTGGGAACCTTGTGGCATTCGTTGCACCAGGTCTCTGTAGTCGTCCCTTCAAAAAGTGTGGATGGTCCTGCACGAAACTTTCACCACTATAATCAAATCTCATGTGCCGGTGTCAGGCTGTCGGCTTCCTGGAAACTGATCTGCTTGACCCTCATACGTCGAACCTCGACGGGAGAATCGATTATATATATATATTAGTGTCTTGGAATATATCATCGATACTAACTAAAATCTACTTTTGTTTGATAGGGATTTTTTTTAATTGCTTATAGACTTAATCAACAACTTTGTGTGGTTACTTTTTAAGAAAGTATTATGAACTTTTACTATATTTCATCGTCAATAAGGTAATGTTGTTAGAATATATGTAGGTTTCTGTATATATATATTGCCATTTTTATATGTGTATGTGTTATACCTGACGTACCTATTCTATTATTAATAGACTCTCCCACACATAATAAGTAGCAGTAGTAGCAGTGGCCAGAGGGGCTCAGTGGTGTTGAGTGAGTCAGTCTATATCGGAAATTGAAGTATCAACCATCACAACTAGATTGCTGCGTCATTAACTCTTATTTAAAGTTCCTAACGTTTTGTACGTCGAACCTAATTTAGGACGACTTAGTGAAATACAAGCCTCCACTGTGAATACTACTCTACAACAGTATATATATATATATATATATATATATATATATATATATATATGGATGTGTTTGTGCGTAGATATGTCTATATAGGTGAATTTACATTTGGATTTTTTTTTATGTATATTCGTGTGTTTGTATATGTGTTGGTATATATGTATGTCTGTGTGTTTAGTTTATATACGCATATGTATACATACATATGTTTATGTATGTATATGTATGTATGTGTGTGTATGCGTATATGTATTTATATGTGTATTTGTATATATGTACATGTATGTATATATATTTACATTTGGTTTGTTTATGTTTTACGTCGCTATATGGGATGATATTTTTATACTTGCTTCTGTATGTGTATATATATACATATGTGTATGCGTATATATATATATGTAGGTATGTGTAGACATATATTTGTGTGTATGTGTATATATGTATATATGTGTGACTGTAGACTTATATCTGTAGGTAGTTCGTATCTTATTTTCTTTCACCTAATATATAATAAGGCATATATCGTCTCTTATGATAAAAATATATATTTTTATAGATGTTTGTGTGTTTGGAATTTTCGCTTATTATATATTAGATAATGTTATTTTTAAACATTTTTATCTTTGTATATTTACCCGTATAAGTTATATTTTAATAAGTGGTTAGCATTCGTTTAATAACACTTTCAGTCTTGAATATTTCTTGGTTGTGGTATCAGATTGTCTATGTCAATGTATGTGGATTTGTGGATATCTATTTATCGGTGTCTATGTGTATAGAAAATGGATGCACATTTAATTGTGTATGTATGTATGTGTTCTGTTTCTTTTTTTTTTATAAAGGGCCGTGGAGATGTTTCGTGTCTCGTCACATTTTTATGTGTGTATATATCTAAATATGTCTGGGGGCTTATATATTATAATCTGAGTGTGTTTGTATTGTATTACGCGAGAGGTTAGCACCCCACTCACACACTCGGGATTAAAATGTATACATTTTGTCGGGAAGACCAGCTGATATTATCGTCTATTCTAAAGTTATTTCAATGAAGAAATAAGTTGAATAACATATATATTTTTCTTTCCTCCTCAGTAATTTTAAAATTTTAATCTTAATAGAGATTAAATTTAGATTTAGAAATTGGTAATTTTTTACTTTTAGTTTTAATATCAAAGTTTATCATATAATTTAATACTTATTAGTTAGAATAAATTCTATTTTAGTATAACCTCAACTTTAAAGCTCTTAATAGCTATTATAACCTTACTTCGTTGTCAAGTTTTTTGAATTCTCCCATACTTGTGTTTTGATTGGTCATACTAGCTATTGTAACAGCGTTTTCCCCTTGCGAAGGATCGTTAATTAATTTGAAACTTTTAAAACCATTTATTTTACATTCAACATCATCACTTGATAAGACACCGGAGGTGTTGAAACAAAATGGGTATTTTTGCAGTGATTTTATAACATATTTATGTTATAATTTTTAAATAAATAATTATAGCTGCTCTACTCTGTGTTGAGTAATCTTTTAAGAATAGTAATTGCTGGTTATTGGAATTTATTCCGTATACACCAAATATATACTCGTATATATATATATATATATATATATATATATATATATATATATATATATATATATATATATATATTAGCTTGGGTGCATGTGTTTTATAATTTTGCGCTTATTCAGTCAATATTATTATGAGATGAAGAAGATTGCAGAAGCGAAGGCCGCGCTGGGATTAGACGAAGTAAAAAACGAATAGGGAAAAAAAAAAGAATTGGCCTGAACAGATTTTTTTTCCAAAATTGATTCATGTGTACGCATGCGCATTGCGAGTATGTGGGCCTGTTGAGAGATGAGACCTTTGCCTAAGGATTAACAAAGAAGGGTGTTGGGGATTTTGTTCAGGAATTAATCGGCTTTATCAATCAAGATGATCTTCTAAAGCGATTGGAATTGCTTCCTGTTGTGGAAAAGAAGACAAACTGAAAAACCTGTTTGAAAAGAAAGAAAAAAAGATGAGACTAATAGGACGAGAGAAAGAGAGAGTGAAGAGAGAAAGGTAAAAGAGAGGAAGAAATAGGGAGGGGAGGACAAGGAAATGGATTAGATTAAAATTGAAAGGTGAAGGTGGGTTGAATAATACAACGGAAGAGGTAAAAAGAAAATGTAGGAGAAAAGAAAGAAAATGAGATTTTAAAACAAAGTTATATTTCGAAGCAGACTGTGAAGAATGAGGCGAGGGAAGAGGGAAGAATGAGAGCAATACAAATTGCGGAGGGACGAAAAGGAATAAAAGAGGAAGAAAGAATATAAAAGATGAAGAGGTTAAAGACGAAAAAGAAGACAAAAATTGTGGAAAATCAAGAAGCAAAAGCTGGAAGAGGAAGCCTGATGGAGAAGGTAATGAGGATCAAAAGAGGCCATATATCATAGAAAGAATAGGTGGTCGAGAAAAAGAAAGAATCAAGTATGGTAACGAGGAAAAGAAATAAATGAATAGGAAGAAGGAGGAGGGGGAATATAGGTGGAAAGAGAAGAAGAAGAAGAAGAAGAAGAAGAAGAAGAAGAAGAAGAAGAAGACAAATAAACGGAGAAGAAGGAGATGCATAAATGGAGAAGACAAAGAAGACAGTGACAAAAAAAACGTAGAAGGAGGAGGAAACAGACGCAGGGTGGGAGAAAATAAATGCAGAAGAAGAATAAAGAGACAAATTAACGAAGAAGAAGAAGAAGAAGAATGGGGAGACAAATAAATGAAGAAGAAGGAGTAGGAGTAGAAGGAAGAGGGGGAGAAAATAAATGCAGAAGAAGGAGTAGGAGTAGAAGGAAGAGGGGGAAAAATGAATGCAGAAGAAGAATAAGGAAACAAATCAACGACAAAGAAGAAGGGAAGAAAATAAACGAAGAAGAAGAAGAAGAGGGAGGGAGGGAGGGAGAGACAAATAAATGGAGAAAAGGAGTAGGAAGAAGAGGTGTGAAAATAAATGCAGAAGTAAAATAAGAAGACAAATAAACGACGACGACGACGAAGAAGAAGAAGAAGAAGAAGAAGAAGAAGAAGAAGAAGAAGAGGGAGGCAAATTAAATTGAAGAAGAAATCAATGAAGATTTCTAAATATTTCATTAAGATAGATGCGTGTGTTGTGTAACGGATAGCGGCTGAAAAGATAAAAAATAATTTGCACTTTTTTCGTTACATTAACTTTGCATAAATACTATTGGACAGTGTATAAATTTATCTCTCCCCTAAGCTATGGATTAAATAGAATTTGTCATTGAAAAATCACTGCAATTCTCAAAAAATTGATTACATTATATCCTGTCACAAAATCATATTATTCTTAAACTCCAACATGTTTCTGCTTAAAAAAAAAAGAATAATTAATTCAATAACACTAGAAATAAATATGAAAGAGACATTAGTCAATGCTTAATAATAACTGACAATATTTTAACTATGCTTATTTTAACGATCGTTCGAATGATGGTGTGAGATTTTTTATTAAGAGGAAAACAAATAAATATAAAAACTATGGTCAAGCGGTCAGTTGTTTAGAAAGTTCGTATTCTAAGTGGCATGAGTTCGAATGTCATTATGGTCGATTTGTTCGGAAGACGACTCCTTGTTATCGTACTGGGGATGTGTTTTAGTGTAACACACCTATTATATAGTTAATAGACTCTACCACCTATAATAAGTAGGAGTAGTAAGAGTAACGAGTCAGTCAGTCGGTGAGTCAGTGGATGTCAGACGACAGTTAGTCGAATACTAAAGTATCAGCGACCACAACTAGATTACTCAGCATTATACCTATTATATCAAGTTCCTAACGTTTTGTACGTCGAATCCATTTTAGCACCGACTTAGTACAAATACAAGCCTCCAATGTGAAACCACTCCATAACAGGAGGCTATCCCAGAGTGCACCGGCTATAGAAATGTATTACAGAATGCGAAATAAGAGGGAAAAAAAAAGAAATATTATAATGTAGCTAGCACAATAGATCGGAAAAATCAATACGACAGTATATGACGACTGACATTGCGTTTAAGGTTTTAAAGATAAATTTGGCTGGAGGCATGGAACAAAAAGAGAGTTCCACAAAAGACAGGCGCGACAAAAGAAACTTAACTTACGATTGCATCAAGCCAATTCAACTGTCAATTTTGAGACCTTGCCGACAATCTAGTACTGCGCTTAAATTTATAAAGTTTAGATAACTTGACGAAGAGTTTATCTGAACAATTACCATGGAAGTATTGATAGAAAAGGCAAATTGAAACAACTTTACAACTGTGGGAAAGACACTGAAGCCGAGACGCCAGGATGTTTCCTTGGATTTCATCAAGAATCTCTAAATATACAACAGGAGCACCAGACCAGATGTGGAAGAAATATTCAGGGATGGACGAGTCGTAGACTTATAAATATATAAGATAGATTCAAAAGAGAAAAGCTGTCTAGCACCATACAATGAACCAACTTTTGTAGCAACAGAAAATGCATTCAATATCATCTTTCCCCTACATGTCGAGAATGTAATCCCGAGAAGAGGTTAGTATCAGCCATATTGATGGGAAGCAGAAAAGGTTCTTTCAGGTGATGGAATAGAATAGAGAGAAGCCTCGTTTTGGAGGTGTTAAAATTAACAAGCCGTTCATGGCGCCAGTTAACAACAGACTAGATGTCATTTTTTTTATATCAGCTGCCAATTTGACAATATCGAACCGATCAGACTTAATCGTATTAGCAAATGAAATGTTTATAATTACAAGGATAAGGTGCATTCTATTCGTGTATATCGAAATATCTCAACATAATTATAATGCATACACTATTATATGCAAAAATACGGAAATAATGAAACGGAGAGAATAAATGTCTTCTCCTCGGATTTATTCAAAATATATATCGAAGCGATCCAGAGAGAATTACCAGGATTTAATATCGGCCGGCATAATCTTAGCAACAGAAGATACGCAAATAACATTGTGTTGTTGGCGGACAAAGAAAGCCGCAATTTCTTGACAAGGCAGTAAAGGAAAGCAAGAAAGACTAACTAACACTAATAAAAAGATAGTCATTATGGCCGTTGACAAAAGGGATGCTCATCAGGATAATCCACAGATAATAACGACAATTAATCTGTTTAGATAATTGACGCCTAGGGTGTATGTCATTCAAAAAAATGTCATTATAATTCTTCTTGTTCCTCCCTTAATTAGCACGACCGCTACGCCCTGTCAATACCGCGTAAATAATGGACACATCAATTTTGATCAAGCGGGATGACAGAAAAAACAAACCAAAGATTTCGAATTGGTTTCAGTGGAAGAAAGAAAGAAAGAAAGAAAGAAAGAAAGAAAGAAAGAAAGAAAGAAGGAAGGGGAGTGGGTAGAGGCGATAATAAACACTCTCTTGTTTAACGTCTGTTTCAGAGAAATTGAAAAGTTGTCAATTTCAAAACTTTTCATTTATATTTCAATATTTTATTAAAGTTGTTAAGCTCAAATATTTAATGATGCGATGAGCGAATTTCTAAGGATATTTTATACTCGTAGAACGTGCCATGAGTTTATTCAGTCATTTACTTAAAATTTCATCAGAAAATTAAAACAGGGAAATCGAGAAATTTTCCCGGTTATTCCTAGTTATTATTATTATTATTATTATTATTATTATTTTATTTTTTTTTATTTTATTTGATTTCTGGCGTTTACACATTTCTGTCCGGGTCCCGCCCAGGGACCTAAGGTTAGAAATGGCATCATTACACTTTCCACTGACAAAAAAAAAAAAAAAAAAATACATAGAGAAAGCCCTTCGTAAAGTGTGCTTGTGAGAACAGTTTTTTGTATCTCCTTGAGGCATGGACTTCCAGAAATCCCTTCAATTAGTCTACTGCAATCTTTTCCAACCAGTCCTACTACAACAGGAATTGTTGATGTTCCCATGTGACACATTTTTGAGATTTCTATTTCAAGGTCCTTGCATTTTGACAGCTTTTTGAATATCTTCAAAGATACATTGCAGTCAGCAGGGACAATAAGGAGACACTTTTTTTGTTTGTGGTCTTTAATAACAATATCTGGGCGGTTGGCCTTGATTGTTCTGTAAATGTGTATTGTGTAATCCCATAGAATTGTAACAGGTCCTATCTCCGTAACCGGGTCTGGGTGGTGTTCATACCATTTTCTTTCAGTTTCCTTCCCGTAGAAGTTGCAGATTTTCCAGTGCAGATATTGGCCCACTCTGTCATGCCGGGTTTTATATTCAGTGCGTTATTATTATTATTATTATTATTATTATTATTATTATTATTATTATTATTATCTTTGATTTCTGGTGTGTACACATTTCTTTCCGGATCCAGCCCAGAGACCTAAGGTTAGAAATGGCATCATGACATTTTCTAATGACCAACATACACACACACACACCTATTTTACATAGATAAAGCCCTTGGTAAGGTGTCCGTTAGAACAATTTTTTTTGTATTTCTTTAAGACATGGCCTTCCAGGAACCCCTTCAATTAGTCTACTGGAATCTTTTCCAACCAATCCGAGGGCTCTAACTACAAGAAAATATTTTTGATGTTCCCATGTGCCACATTTTTTAGATTTCGATTTCAAGGTCCTTGTATTTTGATAGCTTTTTCATTATTATTATTGTTGTTGTTATTATTATTATTATTATATGTGATACAATTATTATACTTAATATGGACAGTGAAATTTATAAATGAGCAGAGTAAAGAAGGCAGTCAGAGAGAACTGAAGAAAGCAGTTTAAAAGTAGAAACACAAAAAATAGCGAAAATTATTTCTAGATAAAAGATAAGATCTCCAATAAAAATTGATTAAAATTTCAAGAAGCAAAAGGAAGAAAAACATGTGAGGTCAAAGAAAAACTAAAGGAATAATTAAAGATAATAAAATAAAAAAAAACTTAAAATCCACAGCAAATTTAATTGAGAAATATCGGTTAATGCAGACGACATTTTTTGCTCCTGCTGCTACTGCTACATTGCATCCTGCATATATGCGTCAATTATTTTTCTTCATCATTTTGAAAGAAAAATAATAAAAGAAAAATAATAAAAGAAAAGAAAAAAGAAAAAAACAACAAAAGCCCATTTCTTTTCATCCTTTTATCAAACGGATGGATTAAAACAAGAGCAATAAATAAATAAGAAAAATATAGTCTGAAAATAAAAATGGCGTCCTAGAAGCAGAAGCAGTTGACGTGTTTTTTATAGACCAAAGGCGCGAGCATTTTAATTCTTTCCTTAGCAAAAACTCGGAGAAAGAATCGAAGAAAGAAACAAAATTTCTCAAGAGAAGAAACGATTTAAATCAGATAATTAAGAAATAAATTAATTACTAAATTAATTAAAACGGATGGAATATAATTTATCATCGATAACAGTGTTAGATATAAAGACTTCGTCGCCATTACGTTGTCGGAGCCCTAGGCGTATAAGTTATGCAAAGTGTTGTACTCTTATCCAGTAAAGAAATCAGGAGCGTAAGTGGAAAAATTATTTTGCTAATTACCGCTAGAAAATACCTTTTAATAAAAACTTACATTTGAATTACAACGAATGCTCCAAAAATAATGACACATGATTATTTTTCCGAAAACTAAAACAGTTATAGGGATGTTAAAAATGAGGTGGGATTGAGGAAGGATTCAGCTGTAAAAATATCGTTTTTCTATAGATCAATAGCATTGTCTATTAATATTCGGCAACGATGGAAAAAAAAGGTCTTCCTCTGAATGTTGACAAAGATACAAAGAAACGAGGAATATGATTGGCGCACACATCGCTGTCGCCATTGTTAAAACATACTGCCGAGAGCTTAACTGTGCTTACATTGTCTGCCTGTTTTCCATAAACAGATGAGTATGCAAGTAGGTACGTGGAAGAATTCAATAAAACTCTATTATTCGGATGCACCGACATGTTAGATGGCACCTACCATATAAGCTGACAGATGCCGTTCAATTTCTGCAATACACACAACATTCAAGTAACAACTTTTCAGAATGGAGTCCTTGACAATATCATAATATATATATATATATATATATATATATATATATATATATATATATATAT